ATCTTAGGCTTTGGTTATCCCGTGCGAATGCGCCACATAAAACACAAATGTCTGGGAGTAATTAATTTATTACATGGGGTCCCCAGATAATTCTTATCCCATGCGAATAGGACTTTAGGAAGATGTTTAACATATCCTGGGAGGAAAAAGTGTCAAACCTTGAAGTTCTTCAAAGATTTTAAATGCCAGTCAGTGGAGAGTACCATCATTAAAAAACAACTACAACAGTCATGAGTGATCTTAGGACGCCCAAACAGCTCTTCTATGGTGAGATTGCCTGCAACTATATCTATATCTATATCAATATCTATATCTATATCTATATCTATATCTATATCTATATCTATATCTATATATTTTTGTGAGAGTATAGTTGATGTAGTCTGTAGAATAATCACTGATTTCGATGTTTGCTAAGGCCAATTAGTTGTGGTGGCCATCTTGAATTGGGGTAAATCCAAATGTTAAATGTAGATGCTGTGGTTACTTTCTGAGAGTTCCATTAAAATATGTTCACTGGTTCATAAGATATTTTGTTAGTAGTGCAACTAAACACGCATACACACACATGCTCGCACACACAAACAAAGACAAAAATATTACTGCCCTTTTGCCTTCAGCAACAGATGATAATGACATATTAATAKATCAGTCCCATCAAAACCCATTAGCAGGATTTACAAGTAATTTACAAGGTTAATGGAATTTTTTTCATAACCTGTCTTTCTTAATCCTTTTTTTTGTATTTTTTACTTTCTAATTTAAGATTCCCAGTGATTCTCTCCATTGAGAACCACTGTAACATCCAGCAGCAGAAGAAGATCGCTCAGTACCTGCGAGAAATCTTCCGAGACAAGCTGGATGTGGACGATGTGCTGAGCCGAGACTCCAAAACCTTACCCAGTCCCCAAAGCCTGCGAGGGAAGATTCTCATCAAAGTAAGACAACATCACTTTTTAGAGTCTGCCTTTTTCTAAATTAATAACTCCTTTTATTAGAATAAAACAGTACTCAGTGCTYACTGTACTTGCGAATAAAAAACATCCGCTTCACCCCCGAGCTACCCCACTTTTACTGCAGACCATATGGAAAAGTGCTCATTATCTGTCAATATTTGACTTTGTTGGCCACTGTGAGGCTACTTGTTCCCAAACAGAGATAAARAGAAGGAAAAGTACAAGTGGATAAAACTAGGTCATTGTTTTAATCATGGATGGAGTGGGAGGGAGGAAGGGAAGGACGGCTGCAAGTTAACTCAGTGACAGATCATTGGCTCAAATACTTTGTAKCATCCACAGAACAAACTCAACCTGACTGCTGACTCATTTGGGGCCGGTACATTTATTCACTCAAATGATTATTTCTTGCAGACAWAAGATGTTACGTATAAATGAAAGAATAAACTCTAAACGTGTGGTTAAAACTATTTACATGTCACTTTGTCCTGAGTGACACCAACATCTCTCTTTGCTTCTATTTGCTTTAAACTTCAGAATATATCACTTGTACTGTTTTTTAAAAGCCCTATAAAACAAACCTACCATCTGATTATATGTTTCAAATGTGCTGTGCCTTTTTTTAATCGTTTGCTTTTATTTAGACATTTTTAAGATCGTTTAAGATAAGATAATTTTCGTTTTTGGGGTGTAAAAGGTCTTGAAGGACTGTTTGTAACTGATTGACTAAATGTTAGATCCAATATTGTATTTTGACACATTTTAATCATTGCAGCCTTAAATTTAAAACAGGGAATGAGAGTTGGTGTGTCTTATTGATGTATTCGTTCTGACTGTATAAACAAAAAATTGGTTACATTATCGTCTGAYGTAAAGGGTAACACCTCTAACCAGGAAGAGACGTACATTCACCATGATGTGAGAAAGTAGAAGAAATCTTGAAATGTACAGAGTCTCAGCTTGGATAATCTCATGCTCATGTAATTATTGTGTCATCAAATGTAACAAAAATATTATAAAGGAACGTTTAATGCAAATATTGCTTTATTTTGGAAGCTTCAGAGCTCCATAATAAAGACCACACCTCTGTTTTTCTTTGTACCTTAAAAAGCACTTCTGCCACTTGTCTTGAGCACTTGCAACCAGAATGATACAATGTTTTGGGAGGAACAACTSTGCAATGCAAAACTGACTGAGATGATTTTATTTTGAAAGATTTAATCTAATCTTCTTGGTATATCTGCTTAACTTCTCTGTATATGGCTGACATATAACTGTTCTGAAACACATATTTGCTTTTAAAATCATATACTGCAATGTAATAACATTACAGAAAGTTAAAAATAAAGTAGGAGGGAACGTCATAAAATGAAGCAACATTTTGTAGATAAACCACCATCAGAGTCAACACCTCTGAGCAGAGTGCTGCATTTGAGACATAACTTTTCTTATGATTGTTTGTTCTTCAGACTTCCCGAGTCAAAGTCTCCCATGCTTATCTTTTTGTAACACCTGCTGCACTCTAAAGGCCATGCGGGTGTTGTGAAAGATATACTGCCAACCATATTTGACACTTAAAGAAGACATTCAGACATACAGTATCAGTTGTGTTTTTGTTGGACAGCCAGATACACTGCAGGATCCTTGACTCTGTCTCCTATCAGTCAGACATCTTAAAATTTAAAAAGCATTATCGACTTTCTGAAAGTCCCTTTACTCCTCCTACTTTCTTTGTATCCCTCCTAAAAGCCTTTCACAACTCCATTTCTCCCAGCAGACCAGGGATTGATTTGATTTGATTTATTTATTTAACAGGAAAAGATTATAAAAATCAAGCCTGACTCGGCATAATTGCTGTTTTACAGCAGGTTCCTGTTCTGCAGCACATAAAACACTCAGAATTACAACATCACAATCACATCATTATAATTACACCATAGACACAAAGACAAACAAGCATACCAAATTTCAAAAAGGCAGCATTTGCAAAATAGGACGTCTAAATATGAGCACAACAAAAAGTGTCCAGCAGATGGCAGACAAGGTTCTTCTTAAAGGGCTGTAGTTTTGAAATGGACTTTATGTTTTGAGGAATGTCATTCCATGCTTTAGTATAAACATAGAAGAAAGACCTCTGGCCTTAACAGTTTTTAAAAGTTGGTAATATCAGTTGTCCTTTTGTAACAGATCTAGTTTAATGACCACTTCCAGAATTTGATTTGGACAGCAATGCACAGAGAGTTCCATAAATGTCACGTTGGAAGATCTGAAAATATAAATTAATACCACTATAAAAAACATAATTCTGAAAAGTCAAGGCATCAGACAATGAAAGAACTGTACAGTGATGAGTCCAACCAGGAAGTTTTTTATGAATTTTGTAGGCCCTGTTGTAGAGCCTAACTATGTGTTTGAAGATTTCATTTGTTGTAAGAGACCAAACAGGTAAACAGTGTGACATGGTTGAGAGTATAATGGCATGAAGATAGATATTTGAAACAGAAGATGTCAGATTGGATCTAATTTTTGAATAAATGTATAATTTCTGTTTCAACTTACTGGTTAAGACTTGTACATGATCACGATAAGTCAAATGAGAATCCAAAGTAATTCCAAGATATTTGTARGTAGTGACAATATCAAGGGGTTTGTTTAAAAAAGTGAGTTGATTTGTTATATTGAAATATCTCCTGGGTGAGGAAAAAACATGCACTCAGTTTTTTTAACATTAATTGACGAAAGATTATCTTGAAGCCAACCATGAAATGTCTGAAGATCTGCTTGTAACTGACTATTAATAGATTAAATATTGAAATCAGACAAAAAACGAACAGTATCATCAGCATACAATATTGGAATACTTCAATATTTTTGGAAGGTATTTATGTATAGTAGGAAAAGCAATGGGCCCAGTATGCTACCCTGTGGAACTCCCACGGAACAGGGCAGAGACCCGGACACAGAGCTTCCATGTTTCACAACCTGACACCTATCAGTCAAATAAGAGGAAAACATTTGTATTGCAGATGATRAAAGTTGAAAAGAAATCAACTTTTGTAAGAGAGTATAATGATCAACTGTGTCAAACGCTTTGCGAAAATCAATATATACAGCACCGACAATAGCGCGGACAATACTGAGATTGTCCTCAAAGGTTTGTAACATACAGAAAGAAAGGCGACAGACCTCCCATGGCTGTGGTTGAAATGGGGGCAGCGATGTCCACCRGGGAGAGACTTCCATGTACTGCCGGAAGCTTTGAGCTTCTAATTTTTATTAGAAAAACTCCACTCCCACTCACACTCAGAGAATGGTTCACTAATGGGCTTTCAGTGAACTGGAAGAGCTTCTTAGGGAGTTTCTCAGGGAATCTGCTGCTGTGTGTGTTTTTAGGGTTGAGCTTTCTGTGTCCTCCAAAAAAATGTCAGAAAAGCCTTTTTTTCCACTCTGCCTGTTAATCCTGGTCCATATAAAAGCTACAAAGATTTAATTTTTTATATTTGAGCCTTTTCTTTCAAGTTTGGAGTCAAAGAATCAAAGAGATGTACTCAGTCTACATGCAGAGGTTTCTGTTTGTCACTTTTCTTCCACCTCTGTGTGTTTCCTCCATACAGGGGAAGCGTCTACCCGCCTATCTGTCTGCGGACGCCGAGGAGGGGGAGGTGTCGGATGATGACAGCGCTGATGAAATTGAGGAAGACTTCAAACTCAAAAGCAGCAATGTAAGAAAGGGATGTGGCTGTAAATGTTGCCTCAATGTAACAATGTAGCCTCTACACAGACATCCTTATTGTAAGTGTCTGGATTTACTGTTAGGTTAAAGATTAGTAGGGCAAATTAAATGTGTTCAAGAACACTTTTACTAAGATAAATCCTGCAGGAAACTAAAATGATATTTAAAATAAGGTGTTATAGACATAAAACAAAAGTGGAATGCTTTTGATTTTGTCGTAATTATCGCCAAAAAGGGAAAGACAGGWGATTTTTTTTTGTGTTTTTTCATGTCTGTGTTCATGTGTTTTCCAACAAGTTTCATGAACTATGTTTTAATGAAATTATTATATTAAAATATAATCAGAATGGTTAATCTTTAGAGTCAATGTCCTTCAATATGGCTGCCACAGATAGTTAGCTTTCACTAACACAAAAATGGCTACAACTGAGCCATTTTGACTCGTATCGCGCTAAAATTTGGTATGGAGCTGTGAGTTATTGATTAAATGATGCACATCTTATCAAATGATTTTATTTTAGAGGGTTTTTTGCTGCTTTTTAAAAATTTCATACCTAAAAATCCATGTGCAATTTTTATGCATTATATATATTTTTATGTGTCCAACATAAAAAAACTGAATTTTGACAGCAAAGAAAATACCAAAACAGTGTAGGAAAAAATAACCACTCACTTCTGATTTTGTTTTGAAGATTTCTTAATTTACTTTTAGATTTTTGAAGCTACGAAATTATAAAAAAAAGGAACCCACTTGAAAAGGCAGCTTGCATCTTGCAGCTGTTTGTGTTTCGATGATAAACCAGAGACTCCTCGAAAGACACCGATACGCACCGTTAACACACTCCTGCTGGAGAAGCTTGTGCTGCTTGGAAAAGSAGAATCATGAAAAATTAAAGACACCCTCACCTACATATTTGTTTTGAATCTTSCTGCAGRAGGATGGTTTCGTTGTATTAAATCRTCTTGGACATTTTTATAGAAAATCCCCCCAAAAAAGCTTCATAAACATGACAAATTGAAGTAGCAAAATAATTTGAGGTTTAAGATAGTTGCTGCTGCCAAATAGCAAAATACACCAATATGAGTTCCAGTGGATGGGTGCTGGTGGTGGTGGTGGGGTTGGGCGGTTGGGCGTGGAGAAGAGACTTTTATCTGTTGCACCTCTGACTGTCGAGAAAAACTAACAGAGAGAGAGAAAAAAATGGACTTTGTGTACACATGACTTTGCTCTTGACACTTCTCTTCTTTGGTCCCAGCAGATAAGATTGTCGAGAAAAGCAAATAACAGCCACACTTACAGAGTTTTTTTATTATTATTATTTTAGAGTGGAGTCAGTGAAGCCATTTGTCAAAGCTTTCTGGGCAGCTTATTTTTTTTTAATTTTACATGATTTTAAATTTTTCAGTCTGAATCCACCCACACCGACATGTCAGGAGTTTGTTAATGGGATGTTGATGATATTCTTCTAGTGCTAATTGGATTGCTGTGTTTGTGATTGAGGGGTTTTAATGATAATTGCCGGAGATAACCAAACCCTAACGATTCCGATTTAAAACAGAAAGCAGCATCAAGAAGGAGTTTTTTAATTACACGTTTGAACACAAGCACAGTAACAGATTAGTTTTACACAGAACGGAGGCAAATTTCTCCTCGTGCTATTTCTCCTCCTTTGGTCCTCGTCGTTGATATTTTGCGCTGCAGTAAAGCCAGAGAACTGCTCGGCGAATTAAAAACAGAAGAGCAATCGTGTTGTTTTCCAGACGCTTTGGTTTTTGTGAGCGAACGTGGCACCAGTTCTCTACGTTTAGCTGGAGGCACCAAGTCGCAGATGCCGCTGCAGATGATCACTGCCGCTTCTGAGAGGGTTGTTGGCAGCTTACTGGGAGATTTTCTAATAACGTCATTAAACCAGTATGCTTTCCAAGCAATCTCTGCTAACAACTCACTAATAGACTGATGCGCCTTTTACACAGTGGCGATTTAAGTGGTGTAAGAATCAATGTTATGTATGTTTTGTTTCACTCTAAATGTTCATGATGTTAATCTATTAGACAAATCTGACACATTCAAAGCTGCCAGCTGCAGAAGCAAACATGACAATAAAAACATGGTATATGGTATTGTGTATAATATCTGATTTGTTCACATTTAAATGAAAAGGTGCATTCATTTGGGACGATGTGATCAAAATATAAAATGCACAAACTTGAGGATCAGACAGGCTGTAGTGTCTCCCTGTTTATTTCATGTTTTGTGTTGTTTAAAACACCGAAATGACTCAAATTCATGCTCAGCATGCAGATTATGGGATGGAATATGTTTGCATATTTGGGGAAAAAAATTAGATCTGCAGCCAGGTTCCCTCTGACCAATAATTGTCAACGCCACTTGAACTGGGTGGAAATGTTTCTGAATCAGTCATTTCATATCTGATTGGACTTTCAAACACAGCCTGAAAAATGATGTTTTTGTAACAGATCTAAACAGATGTAACCTCAGGAAAACACTGATATACATAAATATTTCCTGAAGGGATCAAGAATAAATAAAGTCAATGTGGATGTTCCAAATAAAGTTCTGTCCTTTGGTAGCACTAGAAAAACAGTTTGAGTCATTGCTTGGTTGGTTACTACTCTCATTTTTAAAATTTTAAGCATGTAAGTAAAAACTTTTGAAATATTGCAACATTTATACAGTTGTGTGTTTTACATTGCAGAGTTGGAACAATTTTTTTAAACATGCCTGTATAGGCAGAGGAAAACAGTGACAAATATTAAAAGTGTGCTTCAGCTTTGATAAAAACAAAACAAAACAAATCCTTATACAGTATTTCATTATTTACAGAGTAGAAAAAGCATTTTGCCACTTACTGAAATGACTTACTGAAAACAATCCCTGGTAGTTCTATTCATTTTTACTATATGTGTAATTTTTTTGTGGATTATTTTTCATTTTTATTAGGTGCATCAAAAGTAGCCTCAATAACTGACACTGAATCACTCCTTTGCCTTGTTGCATTGAATCCTAATAAGATGAACCAAAGTTCATATTGAATTGTATTGTATTGTGAATAAAAGCAGGCATTATATCAGTTGTTGCAGCTCATCTATCGCTAACTYAGAGTGCAGATTTAATTCCTGTCAATTTGATGCTGCAGTTTGTTGATTTTTCAAAGTCATGCAGCCCAAACAAGCGTCCTTGTTTTCACCTCCTTTCTTCACCTCCAGGGCAACGGCCACCACCAAGTGGAGTCTCACATCCGAAAGAAGCTGGACTCTCTTCTAAAAGAGTCTCGGATCGGAGATAAGGAGGACAGTGACAGCTTCAGCATCCGAGCGCTGCTCCGAGCCACACACCAAGGCCTTCAGAAGAACCTCCGGCAGGTACAACCCAAAGGCTGAGTGTGGAGCTGTATGTGTCAGGGAGAAATACTCATCCAGACCAAAAAAAAAAAAAAAAAAAAAAACAGAGGCAGGGTAAAACTAGGCCACAGATTTAGTCATGGAACGAGGAAGAGAATAGAGTAAGTTACTAGTTACTGCAGCAGTGGCAGGCCCAGCACACCCACAGAACAGATGCAAACAGCAGCTCTTCAGGCCGCTCGGAAGGAGCTGCTGGGTTCCAGTGCATGTCAAAACACGCTGAAAGTGAGGAGCGACAAAGTATCTGCAGTCTTACTTAATATTTAATTCTGCTGCTTGGTTTATTTTTAGGAGCTTCACTTTAGTGACAGCCATTTTCATGTAGTGTGTGTGGAACACCAAGGCTTTCCTATCCGCACTCATTTCGTTCTTCTTTGTTGGCGATCCCTTTCACCTCATTCTGTCTCCAAAGCCTCATCTCTCCACGTCTTCATCCTTGCTCTTATTTTCCTGATTTCTCGCCCGCTGCCTCTCTTCAGCTGTGCGATGTTTTTATTGACTGCTGTTAGCTACAGCTCCTGAGCTTTAAGCTTTAAATGACTCACCGGGTGCTTATGTTGTTAGCATTGCATACCATACTGTATACAGTCCTATATATGTGTGAATGTAAGAGAACAGACACAAACCCAAACATGAAAAGTCTCTGAATCCGGTTCTCCTTTCCTCCAGAGCTCCAACAGGGTTCTAAAGAAATCCCACAGCAGATCTCTCATCACAACGCTCAAACAGAAGGTAAGAAGTTAAAATTCGTTTGATCTGTTTGTTCTGCTTCAGGCAAAGAAGCAAGAATACATTTTTTTGCTGTGTACCATGGTATTGGAAAACTTACAGCATCTCTGTTTTTGGAAGATCTTTATGAAAATGTTTGTTTTATTACTGATCTTATTCAGCTGGTGCTTTCTCGTTCGTTTGTTCTGTACTCTTCCTTGGTGCTAATTTATCCATTCTTGCATCGAAACATTCAGCTCACTCAGGAGGTGGGTGCTACAACTTTTGGTTTTTGTAACTTTTATGCCTTTCAAAACTTTATTTACAAAACACTTCCCTATGAAAATCCATTGGGATCTCTTCAACTCTGCTTCAGTGTAATTGCTCAATTTTCGTAGTCTGCCTTTACTTTTAACTTGTAGATAATTATACAGTAGTAATTGGAAAATTGACCAAACATAACCCATAACTTTTGACACTTTTATATCTTAGAAAGCTGATTTTAGTATAAAAGTTAGCATGAAAGGCAGCAGGTCACAGGTATTAGTTAAAGAAGTTCTAGGCCTTTTATTTCTTCTATTCTATTCAGTTTATTTATATGGCGCCAAGTCACAACATACGTGGTCTCAGGGCACTGTACATGAAAAAGTTGTTATAGTTTTCAACACAGCCAATACAGTGGTTAACTATTTTCCCTAATTTTACTCTTTTTCTGTTTTTACCTCCTGCATTTACCCACTCATTTCTCCACTTCAATCTTTTATGCCTCCCTCTTTGCATATAATTCACCCTCCTACGTTTGTGTGAGTAGTTGTGTGTGTGTGTGTGTGTGTGTGTGTGTGTGTGTGTGTGTGTGTGTGTGTG